TTTGGGGATTTTGTAGGAAATCAAATCGGGGATTGGGGATGGTCTTTCTTGGGTCGTCCAAACTTTGCATTGAACCAGCAAGTTAAAGGTTGATGCCAGGACAAAAGACATGTGTTCGGAAAGTCAGCCTTTCGGGAATCCCCAAAACCGCCTAGGCCGCTTCATCCCCAAAACCCGGAAGGTCATTCCCCAGCAAGCAAGCAGTTGGTTCGGGCGTTCCCCCGGCCCCCCCCCCCCCCCCCGAGTGGACGTTCATGGTGGATCCAATGACGCTCTTTGAATGGGTTCCATTGAACCCCAAGCGAGGCAGCTTTCCCTTGACACCAACCTCAAAAGGCTTGCTGCACCATCAACAAGACCCCAAAATTGTCAATTTTCGCCTTCTTGTATGAGTCTTTGTCTTTTTTGAAGTGGACCCCTCAACGACCGGTTCAGGGGGTCGAACCAAGCCCGCCCCGCAGCTGGACTCAGTCTTCGACTCAGCCCCCAGGTGGACTCGAAGGTTGAAACAACCCCAGCTTCCCACTTTGATGACCCCCCAGAAACCGCCAAAATCGTCAGTCTAGACTTACCCTATAAAAAACTCCAAGCCCTGGGGAAGTTAATCTTTTACAGCCATATAGCCCATGTTACCCAAAAAGTTGAAAAGTTGTGTTTTTAAGAGGTAAGTAGACCCCAGAAGGGCAAGCTTGCCTTTCCCCCGAACTCGTTAAGGCTCTCTTTGCCTCTTCCCGTCCTGCGGTTCCGGAGAGAAGCAACAAAACATCCGCCTGCGGAATTCGCTTCGCCGCTCGCCGATCGCCGCTTGCTCCCGCATCTAGATTCCGATCGACTGGCCAAGAGCAGTCCTGCAACTTTGTCTAGGTCCTCCAGTAGAGAGGTTAGAATAAGGCTAATTACCAACTTGTGTCAGTTCTCTATTTTACTAGGGGAACCCTCCCCCCAAAAAGGGGTGAGAAAGGGCACTACTGGGCGACCTAGTTGTTTACCACTCAAATGGCAACCAACTTCCCAAAAAGTGACTACATCAAGTCCATGAACTCAGGAAGTGAGGCAACCACCCTGTTGACCATTTCTTGGACCTCATGGCTCTTGCTGGTGCGAGATGCAGGCGCCCCTGAGAAATAGAATGACCCATTTCAAAAACCATCCAACTAGTGAAGTGTCCGTTGTGGGGACCAAAGAAACTGGGCTCATTCCCGCATTTCTCAGCACAAGCAATGGCTCTCGACACAGAGCCGGTTTCGCATTGCTTCCCCAAAATTTGCTCCCCTGTTTCCTTTTTTGCTTTTTTGGGGTCCCCTTGGTTTTCCACTAACCAGGCAAAAAAATATATGTATATATATTTTTTGCTGGGGTCCGATTTTCCAGCCAAAAATGGGTGTGGCTCAAAATTAAACAGGAGGGGCAGACCGCAGGTTTTGGTCCATGTTTCCACTTACCAGGGCAATTTGGAATTCCGGTTTTTTGAGCCACAGCCAATGGGTGTGGGTCCAACATAGGGAGCCCAACATGGAATCCTAAATGGAAACAAGAGTTTAAAACCTGCGGTCGGCTGGTTTAATTTTGACCCACCCCCAAACGAAAAAGGTCCATGTCACATGGGGCACTTTGCCATTTTGGTAGACAAGTTTTGGATAGAATGATTATGGGTCTAAAGTGTCATCCTCGAAATTGCTCTGCAAATGGTGGTTGAAAGAGGTTTAGGTGCCCTGTCCAAAGTTGCAACCCAAGTCTGCCACTTTTGGAGGCGCAAAAAGGGAAATGGCTCGGCAACCCTGTGACAGACTTCCGTCCGTTTGCTTAAGCCCGGTGGAAAGAATCAAATCTGTCTGATAGATTCCCTTCAAAAGCAACAAGGGGAAATAATAATAATAATAATAATAATAATAATAATAATAATAATAATAATAATAATAATAATAATAATAATAATATAATAATAATAATAATAATAATAATAATAATAATAATAATAATAATAATAATAATAATAATATAATAATATAATTTTATAGCAAATGCAAGGGCCCCGACGACGAAAAACAAACCGGGTGCAGTTGCCCGCCGCCTGTGACCTCAGAAGGGGCGGCACTTCATGGCACCCATCCCCTCTCCGCAGAATCTGGGGAGATCGCTTGGCTTCTTGCATCCGGGGTGTCTTGGGCTCCGCAGCTGTGAGTTGAGTTGAGTTGAGTTGAGTTCTGTCGGGTTGTTGTGTCTGGGAGTCCGAGAAAAAGAAAGAAACAAAAAAACACAAAAAAAACAGCGCAGATCCGTCAGCGACTCCGTTTCATGGCGCGTAAGACGGATAGAATTTGTCAGCTTAAATCAACAAAAGTGCCAGCCCTCCTTCCGAGCCGACGGCTGAACGAGCAAAGACCTCGACCTCAAGCCGCAATGCCTCGATTTTCAGGGGATTCCCACTCCACCCCTCCCCCAGGCCCGCAAAACAATGTGACTTTCGCCTTGGTTCCCCTGTATAAGACTCCCAAAATGGGGCACCACCCACAAACGACACGCCCATATTCCTTGTCCAGAGAGCGCTCACTAGCCATTCGAATGTCTGAAACAGGCCAACCCCCCCCCCACCCCCGCCAGGCGTTTTCCCCGCACTGGCTCCAATGGCGTCTCCATGTCTATCGGTTGGCCTTTGCCACGCGCTCAATCTCGTCCTTCTTCTTGATGGCATAGCTGTTGGAGGACTCCTTGGCGCAGTTCATGATCTCATCAGCCAGGCACTCAGAGATGGACTTGATGTTGCGGAAGGCACTGTTGCGGGCACCAGTGCAAATCAGGTAGATGGCCTGGTTCACGCGACGCAGCGGGGACACGTCCACCGCCTGACGTCGAACGACACCTGCGGATCCAACGCGCGTGGAATCCTCACGAGGGCCTCCATTCTTGACTGCATCCACGAAGACCTGGATGGGGTTCTTGTCGGTGAGCAGGTGGATGATCTCGAAGGCATGCTTCACAATGCGCACCGCCATCAACTTCTTGCCGTTGTTGCGGCCGTGCATCATCATGGAGCATGCCAGCCGCTCCACAATGGGGCACAAAGCCTTGCGGAAGCGTCGCATCTGGTAGCGGCCCTGCGTGTGGGGCAGGAACAGGTGGGCGGTCTTGTTCACTGCAATGTAGTCCACCAAGCTGAGGTCCGACAGCATCACATCCTCATAGGTCCTTGGTAGCGATAAAACAAAAAAACTCGGAGCAACAAAGTGGCGGTGCGAAAACATGAATATTTTGCCAATGACTTAAAGGTAAAAGATGAAAAACAACACATAGCAGTCAACAGGGATCCTTACATTTTACACTTGAACATTGCCTTGTAAATTGTGGGTTCCCTTTATTTTTGCGGGAAAAGCCATATTTCAAATGGGTATCTTTTAAGGAGCCCTGTTTTACCATGCCCTAAGAATCCTGGTACCTCGCAATGGTCTCCTTTGATGGTCCGCCTGCTCCGCTTCGACAAAAACAAACTTCCAAAGTCTCCCAATTTCCAAAGGAAACGCCCTAAACCCCTCCTAGGGTCCCTTGGTTCCCCCAAAAAAAGCCTGGCACACAAGCCAAGCCTCCACTTGCCGAACAGCTTCACCTCTGTCGCGGACATGATGCAACTACTTCTCACCCCTTCACAAGAAGCGCTTCTGAGCCAGCTCCGAAGCCAAGCGCGTGCTTAGCAAGGTCTGGCCAAACAAGTACCAGTCCCTGGTTTTAGGTCCTCCAGATTTGAGAGGTTAGAGCAAGGGTACCCTTTTTTTCTGTTGTGTATTTTAGTATAGGGGAACCCTCCCCCAAAAAAGGCTTCATCCATCTGTTACCATTTCTGCACCAAATCGCAGCCGGAGGCTCCAAGACTTCTTTTTTGTTTTTAGAATCCTTTGGAACAGCCTCTGTGGGTGCGACTACCTGAAATACTCGGATCGACCCATCCTGATTGAGCCTTTAGAACCTTAGCAAAGCACACTTCAGGAAACTACAAGGAGCTGGCTTCAAAATGCTGCGCTGCTTTTCTCTCTCGCTCCGTTTGGCTCAATGAACTGCCACCTGTCTTCTATCGGTTGGCCTTTGCCACGCGCTCAATCTCGTCCTTCTTCTTGATGGCATAGCTGTTGGAGGACTCCTTGGCGCAGTTCATGATCTCATCAGCCAGGCACTCAGAGATGGACTTGATGTTGCGGAAGGCACTGTTGCGGGCACCAGTGCAAATCAGGTAGATGGCCTGGTTCACGCGACGCAGCGGGGACACGTCCACCGCCTGACGTCGAACGACACCTGCGGATCCAACGCGCGTGGAATCTTCACGAGGGCCTCCATTCTTGACTGCATCCACGAAGACCTGGATGGGGTTCTTGTCGGTGAGCAGGTGGATGATCTCGAAGGCATGCTTCACAATGCGCACCGCCATCAACTTCTTGCCGTTGTTGCGGCCGTGCATCATCATGGAGCATGCCAGCCGCTCCACAATGGGGCACAAAGCCTTGCGGAAGCGTCGCATCTGGTAGCGACCCTGCGTGTGGGGCAGGAACAGGTGGGCCGTCTTGCTGACTGCAATGTAGTCCACCAAGCTGAGGTCCGACAGCATCACATCCTCATAGGTCCTTGCAAGGCGTATCTTCTTCACTACTAAAGTCCGCGGTTGATCCCGAAAAGATATGGATTGGATCGAATCCAATTTTGCAATTACCTTCAAAACATCGCGTGGCAGCGTTATCACTTTTGGAGGGGAACACCCTATTAATAAATAAGAGTTTATTAATCCGGGGTCAACGTTAAATGGAATCACTGGGTAAAGTTTCATCCAGGCGTCCACTTTCCGAAGAGCTTCACCTCCGTAGCTGACATGACGCAAATTGAAGTCGCGAGATCGCGCGTGTTTGTTCGAGGAGCTTGAGCCTCAAAGCGGCGGTTGGGGTGTGAAGGAAACTAGCTGAAGGACACGAAGAAATTCCTCTCCATGGAAATGAAGGCCACCAATGATTGGAGGGAAACTCAAAAACATTCCAAGCCGCAGAAGATTTCAAATAAAACCCGAGCCTAAGGGTACGATCTGAAAGAAGACTCACGCGACGCCTCATCTCCAGGGCACTACACTGTTACACCCCAAGCCCACAATACGCACAGAAACCCACACCAAGGCCATGGATAACATCGAGCAAAACAAGGCCGTCCGCCATGCAAAAGCCGGGTTGCTTGACGTTAAAGGGGAACCCTGCCCAAACACAAGGAAAAAAAAGGGAAGCAACGCACCGGGCAATTTTGAACACGCTGGGACGGCCAAACGCCCTCTGCCCATTTCCTCGCGGCGCTCGGCATCGGCGCATCGGCGCGTCGGCGAGGGCCTGCGGCCTGCGAGGCGGCGGCCGAGCGGAGAGCTATAGATAGCCAAGCTGGCGCTTTTTTCCGTGACTGTTGCTGGTTTTGGGAGCAAAGTGCCTAGACTCTCCGACCCTAAAAATAAGCTCAGGTGATATCCCCAACAGCATGTGGAACCCTGGTGGAACCCTGGTGGAACCCTTCAGCTGTTGGGCAAAAAGAGAACAAATAACTCCCAGAATCCTCGCGGAACGCCCCGGGACCATCCTTACCGCCGGTGTTGCTGAGGATGCCGCCTTGTAAAGCAAAGCTACGAGTGACAGCGCAATTTCGCCCTGATCGGGGCCCGACGGCGCAATCGGGGCCCGATCAGGGCCCGACGGCGCAATCGGGGCCCGATCGGGGCCCGACGGTGCAATCGGGGCGGGGCCCGACGGTGCACCACCCATACTATAGCTCAACGCCGGTGACCCTTGGCATGCGGAAGGCAACTGTATCTATAGCAAAACCATAGGCGATGCCAGCTCGGTACAATTGACGGGGCCCGACGGTGCAATCGGGCCCCGATCGTCGCGTGGTGCAACCCCAGCCACCCATATTATAGCTCAACGCCGGTTTTCCTTAGTATGCGGATTGCAACTGTATCTATAGCAAAACTAGGCGATGCCAGCTTGGTACAATTGACGGGGCCCGACTGAGTCGGACCCCGATCGGGGCGCGATGGCGCAATCGGGGCCGATCGGGCCCAAAGGCCCCGACAGTGCAATCGGGCCCCGACCTAGGCCCGGTGAACCTCGCAAACCGTTCTCACGCAACTTTCGTGGAGCTCAGCGTGAAACTTTGCTGGAACCTTTCCTCAGGGCTGCCCCATAGCTTTTGCAGAATTTGGTGTTTGACCTCATAGCCCTCGCAGCCTCGTGGAATTCTTGGAACCCAAAGCCCACCAAGCAGCAATGCCAAGCATTTACTCTGCTGCACCGTGAGTTCCGCAGCGACGTGATCTGATTTGCCACAAAGCCAACATTTGCCTGAGCAAGTGAGCAAGTCACAAAACAGTGAAAGTGCGCTAAAAACCCTTGATTTCGGTTTTGCTTCGTGTTCCGCCCATGAGCAAAGCGATCTTGATCCGATGGCTTTTCAGACGGCGGGCGCACGACACACCCTTGGTGGAGCATTGTGGAGCCTTGTGGAACCCGCGTGGAATCCTTGCAGAGCTTTGTGGAACCCTGTGAAACGTCAGGGCCCACAGCCCTCGCAGAATCTTGAACCCTGAAACCCTCATACAACCTTACCTCAAACCACCCCGGACCACCCCGCAGCCCGGGATCCTGCTAGAACTGTGCTGGAATGGAACCTTACCTTGCAAAACCTGGTGGAATTCTGGTGGAATTCTTATGGAACATTACCTCAAACCAGCCCGGACCGCTGGTGGAACCCTGGTGAAACCCTGGTGGAACCCGTGGAACCTTCCCCGGACCACGCCGCACCCTCGAAGAACTTGGTGGAACCCTGGTGGAACCCTCGTTCGGAGCACGACGGGCTGGTGGAACCCTGGTAAAAACCTGGTGGAACCCTCGTGGAACCTTACCTCAAACCACCTCGGACCACCCTGCAGCCCTCGCAGAACCTGTGAAACCCTGACAGAATTCTGGTGGAAATCTGGTGGAACACTCGTGGAACCTTCCTCAAACCAGACCACCCCAGCCCTCGAAGAAATTGCTGGAACCCTGGTGGAACCCTCGTGGAACCTTACCTCAAACCACCCCGGACCACCCTGCAGGCCTGGTGGAACCCTCGTGGAACCACCCCGCAGCCTGAACCCTGGTGGAACCCTGGCGGAACCCTCGTGAAACCTTCCTCAAACCCGCAGCCCTCGAAGAAATTGGTGGAACCCTGGTGGAACCCTCGTGGAACCTTGCCTCAAACCACCCCAGACCACCCCGCCCTTGCAGAACCTGGTGGAACCCTGGTGGAACCCTGGTGGAACCCTGGAACCGTGGTGGAACCCTGGTGGAACCCTGGTGGAACCCCTGGTGGAACCCTGGTGGAACCTTAGCTCAGGGTCGCCCCGAACCACCCCGGAGCCTATCTGGGCTGGACCCCAAAGCTTTCAGCTGTTGGGGAAAAATGGGGAGTGATTGCCAAAAATTAAGGGGTCATGGAGACTCTAGGGATCGCCAGTTGCTGTCTTGTTTTCCATGCACTTTACCCCTACAAAACCAGCAACAGTGACTGAACAACACAGAAACTTGGCTATCTAGGTGGAACTTTTTGGCTCAAAACAAAAATGGTCCAAATCCCAAAAGTGACTCAAGTCCGAACGGAACTCAGGGAGGGATTTGTTTGTGCTACTTACCACTAGAATGGTCCAAACCCAGTCTTAAAAAAAGGTCGTCTGAAGCTGTTGTTTATTTTCCGCTGAGATGGTCCAAACCGGAAAAACAAATGGCGATCAAGTCCGAAACGGAACTCAGGGAGTGAGTGCAGAAATGGCTGGCTCGTCTTTGTTTGAGCTGGTACCCCCCTTTTTTGGTGGTTTTGAAGGACAAGCAAAAAGAAACCGAATCCATTTTGGGGGGCGGCGGTCCAAATCCTAAAGGGCACATACAGAAATGGGATTGGTGTTGATATTGGTGGACATCATTCAGGTGGGGATTCATGTCCACTATGTTGGAAAGCTAGACTTCCATCCTTCAGGAAGAGGAGCTTGAACTTGAGGTGGAATCCGAAGAACTATCCTCAGCTTCTCGAAAGGAAAGGCGCGCTTGCCGCTCAGTCTCGGCAGCGGGCGTAAGCGCAGTCAAGCAGCGGAGGAGGAGGAGGAGGAGGAGGAGGAGGATGAAGACGAAGACTTCTTTCTCTTCTTACCCCTCAGTCGCATCAGAGTAGCAGATGCAAAATTGGAAGCAACTGGGCACACAAATGCCAGGGCACTTCTTCTTCTTCTCCTTCTTCTTTTTCTTGTCCTTCTTTTTGTCCTTCTTCTTGTCCTTCTTCTTTTTGTCCTTCTTGCCTCGCCACTTCTCCAACATGTTTGCTTGGGCCTTGTGCTTTGAGCCCGTGAAGGAGTGCCGTGTGCCACGTGTGCCACGTGCGAAGCCTGGGGGCTTTGCTGCGGTGGATGGGTGACATCGAAATCCGAAATCGGCTTTGTCTCGCGCCCGACATTCGAAACCCAACGGAATGATGCGATCCCCCCGCGGAAATAATTGCCAGTAAACGCTATATGGTTTCCACCATGGTTTCAAGGTGGTGCGAACAGATTTCGTCCATCCACAGTATGGAACATTTGCAGGCTTGTGAAAGTTGTAGACCACTGGACTAAGCCCTTGTGAAGCGATAGCGTGGGTCGGTGTGTGTCAGTGTGCACCCGGACAGGTGGACGTCAGACTCTGGTGGGACATGATATCCACCAACCACTTTTGAGGTGGCTTCGCCAGTAAAGGTCATGGCAATGTTACAGTATAAAACCCCATACCTCCAAAAGCGGACAGCCGGAAACTGATAGTAAGTTCAAGCAAGGCTCTCTTCTTCTCCTTCTTTGGCTTCCCACCTTAGGCAGAAACAACAGTTCCAGCGCAATAGTTTTTGCTGTTTGAGAGGCAATCTGGGCGTCGCCTGAAGATGGGGACCACCCAATTGGCAGTTCAAAGTAAGGGAACCACACGTGGGCCTCTGCCAAAGCTAGGAACTGCACCCCCCAAAATGGTTGGATGGTTGGATTTGGGGAAATGCTGCTCCTATAGCCGAGGAAAACATGATTTTGCCATGTGAGAGAGGCTCCAAATACTCAGTGCTTCCATACGGACATAGGGCACTTAGCTGGGGCACCTAGATTTGGAGACCCCTGAGCGGAATTTTCGGGGGACAAACGCCTAACGACTCTCCATCTCTCGCTCAGGAGCGCACCCTTCTCCGCCAGTCTCTTCTGCCTCTTCTCTGCTCGCTTCTGCTCCTTCATCTCCTGACTCCCCAAAAACTCACCATGCCACCACGGCCCAAAAAATTATAAACTGGTTCTGAATTTTCTGCGCGCCAGGTCGTACTGCGCTCGTCCGCGGAGAGCCCAAAAAAGTCTAAGCGGGTTCTGCGTCACTGAAATGCACTTTCAGATGGTCTTCCTAAAAAGTTCTGAGTCCGTGAACTCGGGAAGTGACGTGCTAGGCCAATGCTTGACCCACTGGGGCGCGCAGAACATACCATGATTCAGTCAGATTGTGATGCATATCTCCCCCACCCGAGGACGGAAGAGACCTGGCCAATAGGCAACCGGGTGTTTTGTTTCTGGGGGTTACCATGGATGGTTTCCTCTGCTTGCCTACTATTTCAACTGGAAACACTGGGACCTTTCCCGCCTTCACTCTCAATGCGCCCCCAATTTCCATTCTCTGTTTCCCGTTTTGCTACGTTTCCACATGTTTCCCACCTTGCCACTCCTCTCTTGTCCCACAAACCTCCGTCCTGCATCTTCAGCAGTGCTTCCTCCTGCTGTTTCCTGAAGGCCTAAGTCGGTCACTTGTTGCATCATCCGCAATAAGTTGGTCCGAAGAGCACTTTCATTCACACGCGCACACACACACACACATCAACACACACGCTTGGAGCATCTAACTCTTGTTTCACGTTGCGCTACATCCACGCTTGAAACGACTGAACCTGGAAACGGCTCGCCGTTTCA